TTAAATGCAATGGACTACTCAGATCAAAAGCGGATAGTTATAAATAATCTCATCCGCACCCAAACCCAAACCCTAGCCACCAGAGCCCCTCGCCGGAGAAGACAGCCCAACTGCCGGGGAACCGATTTTCTGTTGACCGCTGCCGCACCGGAGTAAATTCCGGTTGCCAAACGAGGTAAAAATTCTATCATTTGCTCAGATTTCAATTTTAAACCCACCTATGGCCAAATCAGACCGAAAGCACCGGCCAATTGGCCAAAAAATGCCGCCAAAGCCCAGCGCCGCCGCCGCGGGGTGTCTCAATTTTTGCCTTCGATGAGGCCCTTCCCGATTCCCGTTCAACATGATTTTTTCACCTTTGTGATCAACGTTTCCTCCTCTACAGGTTGACCGGAGCAAAACACCAAACCACGACGTGAGCTGGAGGAGCCGCCGCACCGGAGAGCCCCACCGCCGGTAAGTTTCAGTTTTTTGTATTTTTTGGCCCACCAAGGGCCCTAAGAGTGTTTTCTCACAGAAACTGATGCAAGTTTGGCCAAATTCAGTCAAAAACGGTCGAAAACAGCCAAACCGAGGCAGATCTCCACCGCGAGCGGCAGCGCTGTCGCCGGAGCACGGCGGAGCTGCCGTGCCGGAATTCTGAAATTGGCCAAATAGGCCATGAGTCTGATTTTTGGGTTATTTGGGATATGTATAGGTACTGTAAGCGCGTTTCAGTTCCCGAAAAAAAATTTAGGGAAACTAGGAACCATCCGTAGGCGCAGTGAAAATCTAGTTTTAGGTATCAAATCAGGTAAGAACCCCTCACCCTATTTCCTACCATGGAATTGAAGTCTGAATAAATGATAATACTGTATTTTGTACAAATTAAGTAGATATGCATAATTAATTACGGTTGCTAATGGAGCCCGAACCGGATATATTTCTCTGTCAATTCCTGTTTGATTTATTTTACAGTTTAAATGCATTATGGTATCTGGTTTATTTATTCTATGATTTTGAATGCATGTATCACTGCTTACTTCACTACTGTTTGATTTTGGGAATTTAAAATATGCTTGCTTTGTTGGATGCACGTTACTTGTTTATGTATTCATGTTTGAGTTGGTAACGGAGACTAAGAAAAAATAGGAAAGGGGTGTGATTTAATAAATGAATAAGATAACAGCCTCATTAGATATCCTGAGAGATGGTGGACAGACCAGGTTCATAGGGAACCCTACCGTGAACGTTGTCTCATACCATACGGGGTATAGAGACTTTATTGTTCTGGCGCTCATACCGGACGGAGTATTGAGGTCTATTGTTTTGGCGCTCATACCGGACGGGGTATGGGGACGGCACTGGAATTAAGTTTGTTAAGAGAAATGGTTCATGTGTAGCAGGGACCCCTATGGATCCCCATGGATACTAGGAGACTGATAAAAATGGACAATTGCTGTTTGACGAGTTGAATATAAAAGTATGATATGTGCTATGTTACAGATTATATATAAATTCATGATATTTATAATGTTATTGTTTCTATAGGTTGTTTTTATAAATCTCACTGCAGTAAGTGGAAGGTAAATAGTTTGATTATTGATAAATGAATTTGTTTAAATCTACTGCTCTATTGGTTGTTTTAATTTTCTACCAACTTTTACTTCTGTAACGGTGAATAGTGTGATGTTATTACTGGGTTAGTGTAGTTCATTCCTTATTTAACCATTTCAAATCAGGAGGACCTGGTTCCAAAACCCGATCCACAAGAAGACGGCGAGTAGATGCTAGATGTCTTATAGTTTTCTTTATACTTCTTTCATTTCTAGTATTTCTTTTAGAAGACTTATTCTTTAATATTATTTAGTACTTTTAAATTATTGTGTAAGAGATATTAACCTAAATTTTTTATTTCGCTTCCGCGCACAGATTTTTATATGCATTTTCTTTTGAATTTCTGGAGCCGTTACAATATTACTTAATTTATGCTGTTTTTTTTTTAAAAAAAATAAAGATTTAATTTTAAAAATAAATCATGATATTTATTTGAGTTATTACAATAAGGAAGTGTGTTGGAATGAAAAGTCATTTACTTTGTAAATAAACTGAATTAAGATTAAATGAAATAAAAATTAAAACACATTATCCCATTGCCAAGTGGATATTATTTAGCTTTTTTGTTTGCAAATAAATTAACCCCACATGTTTTATAAAATTCATTTAGTATATATATGTCCATTCAATTGGAGAAAAATATTTAAGGCATTTATTATATCAGAAGTTTGAATTTCATTATCTTTTATGTTCTTTCAAATATTGATTAATATGAATATTTATTAAATGTTTTGCTCAATAAATTAATTATTAACATAAATTAACATTTCGAGTAGATTTTTTTAAAAAATAAATATATACGTTTGTTAATGAAATATTTTAATATATATCAATTATAAAATAATATAAATAATTTTTAAATAAAAAACACATAGCAGTATACCTCTACGAGTACGAGTAAAGAATTTAGTAATGTTTAATATTTCAACATATAAATATATCTATATTTTTTATGTAGTGAAAAATTAAAGCTACGACCACTCAATGAAAAAGAAGAAAGTTCCTTTTCCGCTAATAACATCGACAATATATATACATATATATAAATGCATGTGTGGTGTATATGTATGTATAATATATTGGTCTACTTGGAGAAAGCAGTTAGCAGTGGCAAAAGGAGGATAAGCTTTGTAAAGTGTGTGTGTATATATATATATATACACACAGAGAGAGAAAGAGAGAGAAAGAAAAGGATGGCGGAGAGAAGAAGACGAAAGAAAAAGAAAAGGAAAGGCCTGGAAATCAGGCAAGTGCTGGGAAAGTGGAAACAACAGGAGACAAGCTTGGGCTTTAAATGCACGCATGCTTTAATTCTTACTCATACGCACCAACCTTCTTCTGTCTCTTTATACACATTTTTGTATATACATATATACACACACACACTTTTATGTGTGTATACTTGTATATATATATTTATGTATGTGTATACAATGAAAAGTATGAAAATATGTGGTGTGGTAATCAGACATGCCAACCTGTTTTTCCAACAAGCTTCACCTTACGTCTCTTTTTCGTACTTTTAATTAAAGAAAACAAGGAAACAAATTAAAGTTAATTTCTTTAACTTCCTTTTGTTTTATGTATATAAATATTATACATATTGTTTTGAGTTTTTGTTTATATGTATGTATATAAAAGTTCTTTTTTAAAACTTTTTTGTATTGATTATGGAATATATTCTCAAATTATGTTCGGAAATAATTTTCATAAAGCAATTCTGAAAATAATGCACGACTCTAATTTAATTATACAATCTACCTAACAAATATCCTATACATTCGGCTATATATATATATGGTCAACATGCATGGTACGTACAAAAATTTGACATGTTGACTTGAGCTACCCATTTTTCTGTCAATAAGATTTTGATTAGCTCTTTCTAAAAATCGCAGTGCTCTTCTATATACCCTGCGATATTCTTACTCAGACAAGAAAAAAGTGGCAAAAAGAGTATTTTCTCAGTATGATTATATATATATATATATATATATTTGTTAAATAGAAATCATACATTTGGGTTGTATTCATTATTCGTTGAAATTAATTATATGTTAATTATACATATATCTCATTACCAATTTACAATAAATATTATAAATGAAAATTGAAAAAGATAGATTGAAAATTTAAATCAATCAATCACAACCTTAATTCATTTTTTTAGATATCTTGTCTATATATTATATATATAAAGAATATATATAATTTTAATGGTAATATGATTGTAATGACAATGTTACAAAATTTTCTGGTAAGGACATTATTGTTAATATTGATTGATGAGGAGAAGCTAGCCTACTTGTAATTTTATCACAATGAATATATTTGAATTGTTGGTTATAATTTTTATATGTTTGATTAAAAATGGAAGAAGTTATTGAAACCCATGTATGTATATCTTTAATTATTAAATTAATTATATGTATATATATGTATATGTAATTAATCTTGGTGCAAGCCAGATAACACAGTCAAGGGCTATATAGTTAACTACCTGATAATATTAAGAAAAAAAAAAAATAATAGGAAAAAAGCACCATGCAAATTAATCCAATTAATTGTTAGTATAATAATCGATAATTATTAAATATTATATATTAAAATTTTGTAATAATTATTAAATATTATATATTAAAAATTTGTAATAATTATTATAGTGTTCCGTATATTTAAATTATTGATTAATTATAAATAAAACCATAAAGATGCACGTATTGGTTGGCTCCTAGGAATCTAAGTTTCTCTTTATATTCACACTCCATTCTCTCTTCTTCACACAGAGAGATCAACAACAGTACAAAATTACAACACCCACCTTCAAAATTTTCATGGCTGCCAAACAGCAAATTGGAGAAAATTATCCACCCGTTGTTGTTACCAAAACGGCGCCGGTTTACGCAAAAGTCTTGAACCCTCAACAAGTTCTCAGTCTGTCCAATCTGGATAGACAGTGTCCACTGCTCATGTACCTAGTTTTATTCTACAAGCCGTGTTTGGCTCTCCAAAATCTGTCGCTTGATTCGATTTTTAGCAGCTTGAAGTCTGGGTTGGAGGAAACGTTGTCGTTTTGGTACCCGGCTGCAGGAAGGTTGAGGTTGAATCCATATAATGGTAAGCTTAACCTCTGGTGCAACAATGGCGGTGCAGTTCTAGTTGAGGCAGTGAGCCAAGTCAAGATTTCAGAGCTTGGAGAACTTTCTCAGTATAATGAATTCTTTGAGAAGCTTGTGCATAAGCCTGAATTTCATGGGGATTTTTCTGATATGCCTCTCGTTGTTGCTCAGGTGATCATCTTGACTAAATTAATTAGTTTTCTTAGTAATTAATTTAGTGTTTTGAATTACATTATACATGTATCAAATATTAAAGAAGAAAACTAGGAAGGAACATGGTTTTATCCAGATTTTCAAGAAAGAAATTCTGAAAATTCCCTTGTCTACATATATGTTATATGTATAAAAATATTCAATGTACAACCAATTAACATGTACTTATGGAAGTAGCACGATCTAGGGTTTCCATCTATATATATACATTTATAGCAAAGTGATCGAGAATACATAGCAAACTATATGTTTGAGAGTTATAAGCATGAGTTAATGATTAGTCTTCTAATTTTAATTTAAACAATTCAAAAAAAAAAAACTAATGTGCATAATATGTATATGTATAGGTGACGAAGTTTGGTTGTGGAGGATACTCAGTTGGGATAGGCATAAGCCACTCGTTGTTTGATGGACCAGCCACTTACGAATTTCTCTCTGCTTGGGCTTCTCATTCCGCCATTATCAAACAAAATAATCAGCTCCAAAGCCCAGTGCACCAGAGAGGGATTCTGGTGACCCAGAAAAACATCCCCAACTTGTCCATTCCGGCGACGACTAGAGCCGCCGCCATAGATCATCTTTATCAGCTGATAAAGCAAGCGACTAGTGATCATCATCCAAACGGTCGCGTTCAGATGCAGGGTTTTAATTCATCGAAGGTTGTTCTGAAGACTTTTCAGCTTAGTGGTGCAGCAATCGAGAGGTTGAAGAAGAAAGTTTTCGGTGATAGGAGATCCTCTGCAGGTACGACGACGTTTTCGTGTTCGTCTTTTGAGTTGCTTGCTGCTCACTTATGGAAGGTATGTACGTAATTGTTTCAAGTTCTTAGACTACTGCTATATATGTGTATATATGTATATTTGGTCTCTCTATCTCTCTCTCTCTCTCTCTCTCTCTCTCTCTCTCTCTCTCCTCTTATATACATATATATATATTCTATATGCTTATTTGTTTATGTGAGTAGTTCGGGATGTGTTAAATCTTTAAATCACAGGTTAAATGTGGAGTAAGTATGTTTACTGCATGATTAATATATAATACATCGTCTGACATATATATATATATATTGCAGACTGAAAACTCAGGTTATATATATCTTCTGGTATATATAATATATATATATATATATATTTGAACCTGGTTAATTAGCTCTGTGTTGAATATATATATGCTTAGATGAAGATAATAATATCATGTACCTAGCATGCTATGCTTTAATATTCCATCCAATTCACTTATTTTGAGAATATATACATATATAGATATATGCCTAGCTAATTCTGCATGTATAAATTAAACAAATTATTTAGTTGTTGAAAATAAACGTTTAAATAATAGTGATCATCTTAATTAAGTGATCTTGAAAATGATTTTTTATTATTTCCCAAATCATATAATAGAACTTTTAATAAAATTTTGTTTTCATTTTTACATAGAATTACACAAACATATATATATTTACGTATACACATACATGTATAGACATAACTAGATCAATTTTAACTGGTTCTTATCTGATTTCTTCACTAAAATATTAGAGTTAATTGTATGACTAAATCTGTAAGTTTAATTCGATAAATAGTAATAATTCTTTTTATTTACGCTTAATATATGAAAAATTATTTCAATTGATAATTAAATGAACATTAAACATATTGAATAAAAATATCTCCTTTTCTCTCTATAATATATTTATAAATATATACACAGAGCGAGATAATAAATTTGTAGGTCAAATATTTGACTTGTACAGTATTAACATGCATGTTGGGCCTCTTTTTTTTTATCAATTTTATACAAATTAAAAAAATACAAAAAAGAAAAAAAAGAAAAGTTCAGCAAACCAAATTTCATTTCAAATGCATATTAATATGAACTTATATGCAGTAGTCAGATATAGCCCTTGTTACGTGCACTAAATTATCACATATTTGCTACATTAATTCAGGCAAGAACAGAGGCCCTGGGTCTAAAGAAGGAAACAATGGTGTGCCTACAATTTGCCGTGGACACACGGAACAAGACAGTTCCGCCACTGCCAAAAGGCTTCTCCGGCAATGCCTACGTGCTGGCCTCCGTAGCAATCACCGTGGGTGAACTCGAGCAAGGTAGCTACAAAGCCATTGTTGGCAAGATAAAGGAAGCCAAGAACAGTGTAAATAATGAGTATGTGAAGGCATATATAGAGGCACTGGAAAGGCAAGAACAGGGCAGCCAGTCCCACCAGCTCCCTCCTCTAAGGGAACTAACCCTAGTTTCAGATTGGACAAAAATGGCTTTTCACAAAGTTGGTTTTATAAACAGGGAAGCTGTTTATGCTTCTCCTCTTTACCCTCCGGTTCCACATGTCGCTTACTTCATGCAAAGCCCCGTAGATTCTGGTGGTGTTGATGTCCAGATTGGCTTGCTCCCGGAATCTGTTACTATTTTCTCTCGCTACTTCCTCAACTGTGACTGATAAACTTTCGACATTTCATGGAGATCTTGAGATATTGCTCTTCCTAGGCACGAAAGCCTTAGATTAAATAAATAAAATCGCAACCATATTTGAAAATGAGAAGTTAAACTTTCGTTATGATCAAACGATCTCACATGACCTTGCACAGTTCACTACCAGACTCATCGACAACTATGCAGACTGATGCTGGAAGATAAAGTAGGCTCTAAAAGTATATTGCTTCGCTTAATTTGCTCAATCAACAGAAAATTTCAACTGTCTAAAAAAAATTATGGACAGAAGATTAGTAGCAGCTAGCTACACTCTTGATTAAAACCAATAGACAGATAATATTTTTCGAGTTGCATGTCGATCCTTATTCCTTCTTAGAGGAGTTAGCAGCCAAACCTACTTTCGTATTCATGTCCTGAGGGAATATGCACTGGATCCAAATTCGCCTTCTGGTATTCTTGCCACATCTTGTTCCTGCATTATCAATTCCTTAAGTTGTCAAATGTGTTGGAATTTATAATGAACAAATTGGAAGAAAGAGATTCGTAACTATGGCAACATATCTTGCAGATTTTCATTGAAATTGGCAGATTTCATATAAGTTCAATTTTTGATAATTTTTATGAAACATTTTCTTCATTTTCTAGATAAACCAAGTGCAAACTTGCAAATCAATTTTGCAGAATTTCTGAATTTGTTACAAACACAGTCTAACCCGATGATTACCAACACATACATAATGCTCGTATGATTAACTATGCCATCTAATGCATTAATAGAAGATTTGAGAGCTACTCACAAGATACTATAAATTTCGACTGTTAAATCACTAGAGATTTCTCATTTGACAATGCAATTATCCCATTTCCTACCTTGGGTGAAATCTTTAGTTTTAATGTATAATAAAGCACAGACAATAATGTGAAGATAAGTTTTAGTCAAGGACATTGTAAATACACCGAGAGTAGGCACATTATCCTATATTAACTTACCTGTTTCACAATTGAACTTACTAGATCGTCCAAAGAGCCAGCACTACCGGAAAGGTAACTGCCCTGCAGCTTTGGTTGACCCACAAGATATGATGTCTGCATAGTTGGATTGACAATATCAGCATGCCTGATAGACAAGGAATCAAGAAAATTTGATTGTCCATTTGAATCGAAGTCCACATTTCTGCGAAAAATTGTGTTATTTGGCTCCAAGTTCTGGCTCAGTGGAACCATACCACTGTTATAATGTATATTGGAGTTCACGGAGCTACTTAGTACATTTGAATGATAGACGGTATCCTGTTTACGACCATCCCATTCTTGCGGGATGCTGCTGATTACTTGCCCAAGATTACCATTTATCGGAGCTACTTGAGTCTCTGAATCTGCTTTTGACTCCTGCAGTGGAATAGATACTGAAGATAGAGAAGTAACATCACTTTGAGTAGTTCCCATTTGAAAGGCCATTCTGGCAATACCATCTCTCACAGGAAGCAGAGCGGACTGCTTAATATCTTCGCTTAAAGGAAGAGAATTTCGTTGGATTCCAGACGACGGAACAGTTCCAGACCAGCTGTCACTGTATCTAGCATAATCTGGTAAAGGAGAAATTCCAGATTCCCCTAACATAGTACCTTGATTCTTGTATACTTTACCAATTTGACCCTCTTGAGATTGACCTTCTATCATCAATGGATTGTTTCCGACTCCAAGAAGAGGATTGTTCATATTAGTAACAATCGTTCTAGTGTCTGGAAAGCCACTGGAAACACGGAGACCCATTGTATTATCAAAATTCGTGGGGAGTTCTCCATTGAGAGCAACACCCTTGTTAGATTGGAACTGATCAAGTTCCAATGACGTTGGCATTCCTTGAAGTATACCGCTGCTTCCAGCAATTGTGATGGACTGGAACTTGCCTTGATCATTAGTGTTATGGCCTGAGTTTTGTGCCTGACCTAACTGAATCATTCCTTGAGAAGGAAGGCCCCGAATACCTAACCCAGCTGGAGTGTTCAACCTACCAAGCATCCCACTAGGTGGGAAAGATCTGAGAGATGCATTGTGAAGGTGCCCAGAGCCAGGAATATTATGGAAATTCCCAAGTCCAGTCAAAGAACCCATGTGAAGATAAAGTGAATCTGTGCTACTCAGGGCTGCTGCTATGTTGGCCTGCTGATTGGTCACACAGCTAATTCTTTTGAGATAAAGCCTGTATTTCTGCATATATATACAAGATGATTAGATACTAAGAAACCAAAGTTTGGACTAGATAAATAAACACGCAGAAAGGTAGGACTTCATGCCTGGAGATGGCTTGCAACATTTTCTCTTGTAAGCTTATCCACATTCATCAAATCTAGAATCTTTTTAGGTACAGCTTCTGCATTAGTAGGATGAAAAATTTTAAAAAAATTAATAGTTCACAAACCTGAAAGGTAAAATGCATAACAGAATAATCGTTCAATAAGCAAAAGATTCATAAAAGCTACTCAAAACATTGACATTGATGATAAGCAGTTAAAAACATACTATCAATTCCCAACTGGTTAACAGCAGCAACGAATTTGCGATGTAGCTCAACGGACCAGACAACACGTGGTTTCTTCTGGGTTGATGGGTCCTCATTATCATGTCCATCATCTCGCTCTTCATCTTCATCTTCGTTCTGGTCTTTCCGTTTCTTATTAAGCTTTCCATGCTGATCAGAAATTCTACTTGCAGCTTCACCATTTCCACTGCGAGACCTGTCCTGATGGTTAGAGTTATTCCGATCCTTCGATTCAGTTTTCCTCCTAACCACATGTTGCCATATGTTCTTTAGCTCCTCAATTCGAACAGGTTTCAGCAAATAATCACATGCTCCATGAGTAATTCCTTTCATCACAAGCTTCGTATCCCCATATGCAGATAACACTGCATACATTTCCACAGGCAGTAATTAAATCTAAACGCAAGTTGAAAATCCAACCATATATATGTTCCTGAAATTCTCCCCAAAGCTTCATAAGGTATTCATACACCAAACTGAGATCAATTCAGATAAATACTAAAATCGAACAAATAAATGAGTCTACAGCCAACCAAATTAAAGCTTATCCACAACGAACGAAAAAAGTAAAGTTCATTTCCAATCTCTAATAAGATCAGAATAGGAAACCTTTCAAAATTTGTTGAACGCTAAACAAGCTAGTCACAGGAGCTACGCATGATAGTTTTTCCACCTGAAAATCTAAGATGCAAAAGTTCAGAGAAAGTAAAAGGCTGTTTACAATATTGATGGCTTACTTATGACAGGTAGGTCCATTTCAAGCCCCACAAGCTCAAGCAGCTTAAAACCATCCATGTCTGGCATATCGACATCGCTGATAACCAGGTCAAACTTGTCTTTATTTTCTCTCAACATTTTCAATGCTTTGATTGCTTGAGTGGTCTTGGTAACTGCAAAAACCCACAAATCAAATTAGATCACCAAAAATACCATCTTGTAAAGAATTTCAACAGATTAAGAATCCACAAGTACGATCTAGATGAACCAATGGAACCATAGAAAATCTTACTATTGTTAAAAACTTCAATCATATCCAAGGTATATCACACCCAAAAATAAGTCATGAGATTCTGGAGACTTAAAAAGCAGAACAAATCTACCAAATAGGTTTTCAGACAAGGAAAGTTCTAAACTCCATAAAAATGAAAAATTAGTAGTTCATGTGCAATCAATCCCAATAAATTCAATGAATTTTTTCTTTAATCTCGGAAAACTATAGAGATTTAATTGAAAAAGAACAAACTTTTTTTCTGGTGAATAAGAGCAAAATCTTACAGAGGAGATACATATCTAAGAAAGATAAAATTAAACAAGCTAGAAATGAAGGAAATCAAGATTTCATTTTTTAACAGTTTAGACATAAACCCAAGAAAAAAATCTAAACAACCTTGAAATATATCCAAAACCCATCAAACGAATCCGGAGAGAATCAAGCAACAACAAAAAAAAAAGAAAAAGAAAAAGAAAAACCAGACCATGATACTGGCATCGTCTAAGTAGAGTCTCTAAGAGCAGTAGACAAGTGGGGTTATCGTCAACAGCCAAAACTCTCATCCCCACCGGAAACTGATCCCTCTGTTCCCCAATTTCTCGCTCAACAGTCATCTTTCCAACCAGCAAGAATAAAAGGAAAAAAAAACGAAGAGACTTTGAAGATTAAAATCCCCGGTTTTAATGGACTGTTAAGAAATTAACAAAACCCAGAAAACAGAGACTAAAAAATATGTCTTTCAGAGTAAGATTAAGAAATGCATTAGGATATAGATACAGAAGGAGCTCAAAAGACGTTAATGGCAACACTAAGAGATTATAGACAGAGGGAAAAGAAGATTTAACAGCATAGTAATTCAATTTTCTCTCCGGATGGTAACATGAACTGTAAAAGAGAAAAAAGAATAAGGAATCTAGACTATCATGGACTGTGTGGAAGCTGTGAGAGAGAGAGAGAGAGAGAGAGAGAGAGAGGAGAAGAGGCCCGAATAAATTTCTTACTGGGAAAAAAAAAGATTCTTTTTACCATTTTTAAAACAATGAAATCCCACTTACCCAGCGGGAATTTGATTCATTCATTGTAATTTCGCAATGAGTCATCAAGCTCGTGTGATTCACGCTGTCGAAAATTGATCTCGGCCTTGAAATGGTGGCCGGTGGGATTTCTCTCCCTCTCTTTGCCCCTTCCTTTTTGGATATTTTTCTGTTTTCTTCATTAATTTATAATTTTATGGATAAATCATAGATTTAGTTTTTGTTTTTTATAATAAAGTATCTTATTTTTAAATTTTATTTTATATTTTTGGAATTTAATTTATATAACTTTTTACTATATAATCTTTAACATTTTAAAAATTTAATTGCATCGAAATATTTTTTTACGACAATTATATTAAAATGAACCTTAAAAATAAAAATGTATCTCAATGATAATTCATATCAAAAGATGGAATTAGAACTAGAACAAGATTACAAAAAAATATATATATATTAATTAAGTTAACTTTTTTTATCACATAATAAATATAAGAAGGAAGACAATCTTATCAATTAATGAATTAATTAGGTTGCTATAATTAAGATTCCCATATAAGGTGATAAATCTTCATTTTGCATTTACACGTAGAATACCAAAATTTTTGGTACCCATGCATTGAATGGAATCATCATTGCGATACATGTACATATATGTATATATATAATTAAAAATGCTTTAGAAAGTAAACTAAGCCGAAACAGATCTTCGGCCCCAAGTCTTCTTCTACACAAATATTATATAGATATATGTGTATGTGTATGTGTATGTGCATGTGCATGTGCATGTGTGTGTATATTATGAAAGTCAATACATGCACTACGTACCTTTCTAAACTTATAATCAATTAAACACATAATTAGTTTTGTACTCGAACGACATATAAAATATGTATATATCAACAAATTTTTTTCATGTTATATATTCTTGTTGATTTATTTGAAAAATGTATTAAATTTACCCATAAATTTAATTTATATTCAGTTAAACTAATTAAAATATTATATAAATCATCTTCAAATATCAATTTAAAATTCATTACATGACCCAATTATATACAAAAATTTTGTTTATATGGTCATGTTTTATTATATTCTAATAAAGTTTACTTCATCTCGTATTAATTTAATTATTTAATATTTAAATTTCAAATAAAAAATTAATTATAATTCGGCAAATTGGGAAGTGTGTGGCAGGGGCAGAAGCGTGCATAAAAAGTGAGAGAGCATGCGAAGGGTTGAGGTGTACGGAGAGGGGAAGCAGCGTGCAGGAGTAGGAGTAACAAATTATTTGTTTAATTTTAATTAATTAAGTTTTCACCTATCCGGAAATATTTTCACTATTGACTCACTTGACCCCAAAACTCCTCACCTTTTTTCACTTTCTTTATTGGCCTCTTAAAAAGTTACTTTTTCGATTGAGCCCCCAAAAATATATATATATATATATATATATATATATGAGACAACACGCCTTCTACAAAAGAACTTTTGAGAAAACCATCATTTTATGTCCTATAAAAAAATATTGATTGAATTTTTTAAATAAAAAATATATATATTATCAAAAAATTTATGATTCTAATTAAATTTTAAAATTTTAATTTTTCAAAAAAATTTGGTTTTTAATTACAATTGTATATATTAGTTTGAAAAAAAAATTATAATTCAATCATTATGTTTTTCACTAAACATTATAAATTAATTGAACTAATTAATTATAGCCATTAAAATTATTATTAAAGTAAAAGAAATGGGTTTTGTGATCTAGTAGGACAAAATTAAAAGAATTAAACACAACAAAATTCAGAAAAAATAAAAAATTTGACGGTGTTCTTTTTTTTTTTTTTTTTTTAAATATATATATATATATATAAATTTTATGTTTATTTTTTTTTGAAAAAATTAAAAACTATATACTAACAATGGTTTTCTTTGAGAAAGTGAAATAATGATATATGTAATCTAATGCAAATAAAAGTTGACAAATCGAGTCATCCACGAACGCCGGCTATCCAGTTCTCTGTAGATATTGCCTACTAATTTTCAGTAAGTGGAGGAAAGACTTACAACATATATATATATATATATATATATATATATATATATTGTAGTGTTTGTGTGTGTTTATGGGATCCAGATAAGAGAAGTGATGGCTTTGTCATTTTGACGATGATGTGATTAATTTTTTCTACATGAAACGGCTCGTATCACTTTGTTGATGCGTCCTGGTCCCATTTCAAAAGATTGATTTGCAATTCCATGCCTTTCATCCCAATCATCAAATCATAATCATAAAACAAAATCTTAATTATTGTAAATAATCTTAATTATCTTCCATATATATAGATATACCTTTTAATCCCCATCAACATTAAAACAAATTATCTACATTAATTAAAATTAGTTAAGATTCAACTTAAAACAAATTAATTTATATTATTGTTAAAAAAAAAAAACATTAACCCCATATATAAAACTATTTTTGATGTACATAAACTAGGATTTGCTTACTAGTAAGTTTTATAATAAAATCTAACATGATTGATACTGTAATTTAGTTTTAATTATTTATCATAAATATTTTTTACAAGTAATACTAACATATTGATGGTCAAATAAATTTTAGTCTGTTGATATGTCAATATAAGAATCCTTACGTTATTAACTTAATTAATTAAGAGCTTAATCATTTCTCTAATTATTACTTAAATTAAGAGTCATGCCCATGTAAAGAATATTATTCAAGAAGAAGATAATTGATTTATTAATTAATTTAAATTGGGTTCCACTTCTAATTATCACATGCTTATGATCCCACAACACCAAAGTGTGTATATTTTTATAATAGTTAAAATGGTTATGAAATATAATATAGTAATTTTTTAAAATAATACCCTACATGTATATGTGTATGGACACTGTATGAGACCCCAGGAATATTCAATTGAGAAATCACATATGCAAATAAAATAAAATAAAAAGATACGAAGAAGATTTCATGTGTTGGGTGCAAAATCTTGAGATTCAATTTGCTTTTACAAGTCACATGAGCATGACCCAAACTACTTCTTGTGGTAAGAACACATATTTTATTTAATTAACAATATTATAAATTAATAATTAATTGGAGGTTTTGTTCTTGCTTTGGTTCATGAGGTAATGTTGTTTCCTCTTAAGGGTCATCTTCCCCTAAACAAGGAGGAAACCACCAAACATTTTCTACTAAAATTCTTATTCAAAATTAAAATTGAAGTTTAATTAATTTAATCTGCCATCAACGAGTTGTAGAAAAGGAACTTGCTTAATCAATTAATTTAAATAAAATTTTAACTAAAAGAATTGTAAATAATTCCATTTAGTAAAAAATAAATGCAAATATTTGCATTTACAAAGCCTATTTTTTTTATTTTCCAATAGTCAAACAAAGTTGAATTCATATGATCTCTCGAACTCTTTACAAGTGTCACCATGCATTTGAAGCTGCCAACAAAATAAAACCAAACATGGTGTTAATTCCTTTTTTTTTTTTTTTTTTTTTCAAAATTTGTTTTTATTTAAAGTTTAATAATTCAATTAAATATACATATATATATATATATATGTGTGTGTGTGTGTGTGCGCGCGTGCTATTAAATTTACCTTCTCTAGAGATGGTCCAATCTTTATCAAGTCCGAGAGCCCAAAAGAAGTATCCGCGCAAGCCCCAAAACCGAGCAAATCGGACCTTCATCTTTATGGAGTCGGAGTCGTCATACCCGACCCAAGAATCTCCCACAAAGGCGTAATACGACACCGTTGGCCAGTCCATCACGACAGTCACATTATTTCCCTTATTGAAGTCAACGATTTCATAGTACCTTAAAATTCCTCCTCCAGGACCAACGTTTACAGTCGGTGCTCCAATTCCATTTACGTTCGGATCCTTGAGTGTCCATGTGTGTCCGTACAATGGTAGTCCCATGACCAGTTTTTTGGTGGGTAAGCCGGCTTGGATCCACGAAACGAGTCCATTACTAGTGCTTATACTACTTTTCAGGTCAAAAAGAGCTGCATGTGCCCCGGTGAAATTTTCCCATGACCCATGATAATCAAAGCACATGGGACTAACCCAATCCAAGTATTTAGCCATGACCTGAGCTGGGTATGTTGCAAGCTCGCCGTAGAGATTATGTTTTGAAGCGTAATATACAGCTGAAGTTAAGAGAAGACGTGGTTTACCCCCAATAATTGCTTCATGATTTAGAGCTATTCGCCATTGCTTGTATAATAATCCAAGGTTTGACATGTCTCTATCATTTTCGGGAAATTCCCAATCAAAGTCAATGCCATCAAACCCATATTTTCGAGCAACTTCAATGGTGGATTCAATGAAGATTTTACGTGTTTCTTCGGTGCTGACCATTTGGGATAATGCAGTTCGATTATTACCTGCTCCTCCAATGGACAATAGAGTTTTTACGGGAGGGTTCCGTGTTCGAAGTGCAGTAATAAAACTGGGTATTTGCTGTTGATCTAATGGAGTTATGTTAAGAACGTAGGTGTTCGGGTCAATCTGGAGAAATGCGTAATATATGTGAGTGAAATATGAGGTGTCAATAGAAGAAGCTGGAAACCCATCAAAGGATGGCCAATAAGCAGCCTTTATGTGACGATGATTTGGAGCAGGTGGGGATGGAATTGGCGATGGAGGCTCAGATGGGGTTAAGCTAGAAGGTGACGGGTAAGGCATGGCAGGTGGGGAATAACTAGGGGTGGGTATGGTTTGATTGGAGCTTGGAGGAGGTGTAGCTAGAAAAAATGGTGTAAGTGGAGAAGTGGGAGAAGATGGATAAGAAGGTGACGGAGAGATAGAAGCAGGTTCAGGTGGGCTGGAACTTGGTGCAGGTGCTGGTGGATTAGAAAATGGAGCAGGAACATAAGAGGGTACAGGTGGGGCAGAAGTCGGAAGGGGTGGATAAGTAGGCACAGATGAAGGTGGCGGAGACTGAGGATAACCCAAATCATCAGAAATCAATTCAGATTCACAGAAGATTACATATGTAAAGCTGATTGTAAGAAGAAGAATGGACATGAATTTAAGATCAGCCATGGTTTTTAGTTGCCGACGAATGAAGGCTTTTGTGTGAGAGATATGCAAAATTACTGAATAGGAAATATATAAAGACTTTGTGTAAGCTGTGATAACATCGAAATTCAACGTTATATAGCTGTTTTGTAGGGTTTGGAGGTTTGTGATTGAAATTTTCTTGAGGAAATTAAATAAAAATGTCTAGAGGAAGAGACTAAAGGCATTAGGCCAAATCTGCAAGAGGGTTTGTTTTTAAAGGAAGCCGGAGATGAGAAGGGAAATGCCAAATAAGCCTAACAAATGGGTGCATAAACTATCCCTTGTTTGAAAATGAAAGGAACAAGAAAACATGAATTGACTATAGTTTTGTCCTTGCTTGTTTGGATCTATTTTATTATTTTCAATAAATAAAAATTTAAAAAAGGTTTAAAATCCCAAGTATATATAAGCCTTATATTGATATGGGCCATTACCCTTAATCCCGTCTTGATATGGGGTCATGGGCACTTCGTTTAGGATATTATAGAACAAACTTAAACTTTATTTAATTATTAAATAATAGACGTATACTCTTCACTTATTAATCAAAATACACACTTGATTTACATTAAATATTGCCTTCAAAATTATGATAATGTTTTCATTCAAATTTCCATTTTATTTTTTTATTTAATAAAATCAAATTTTAACAACATTCTTAATCTTATATCAAATTCTCTCTCTTTCTTTTAAATTTTATTATTTTTATTTTACAATTATTTTTTTTTTAAAAATAAAATAAAATAGAGGTAAACCTATTTAAAAAAAGAATTTTAAAATAACAATAATTATATTAAAATACAATAAAAATCTTTAAAACGATACATTAATAAAAACTTTACTTTAAAATGAAAAAAAAAAAAAAAAGTTTATTGACAGTTTTTCCTTTAATTAGCATAATTTATTTAATTAAATAAATTTTTTATGCAAAAGTTTTTAAAATTCTTAATTTAATTTACACTCAAATCTTAATTTTTTTTTTTTTTTTTTAAATAACTCAATGTAGATTTCTTGAGACTTTTGCAATGGCATTAAAATAAAAATATACCAAAAAGATATGTTACAATTTTACATTAAAGTCTTATATGTAGTAAAAACTAATGATTTTTCTTTCAGAACACACATAACTTTTTCAACATCTACCTGATGACATTAATGGATATTGATTGATCACAAACACTTTTGGACGTTAGTGCCTAAGCCTAATACTTGTAATGATGCTACATCAATTAAACTTATATATGTAGAGTTGTTAGAGTGAAGAATACATAGAATAATTAGTGGAATAAGAATTGAATTTTCCTGTTTCTATACAGTCGATAGTTTAGAGATATTTCATGGGTCATTCGTTGATGGAACTTTGGTTGTTTTGCTTTTCTTTTTTTTTTTTTTTTTTTAGGGTTTGGAGGGTCTTCGAGTGAGAACTTTGATATATAGAGAGACATTGAGATCTCGTAAAGAGATTTGGTTGAATTTGATTAGACAAGTAAATGTGCATGGAATCATGTGGGGTGTTTGTATTACATATTTAATATATCTAATCAAAGTAAAATGCCAAAAATTCATTCATGTCCTTTTCTTTAATTTCTCCTCATTCCAATTACCTTTTCATGTGGGGTTTAATTTGGATTAAAGGCATATACACACACACATATATATACTTATACTTATCTCGAGAGGTCAATTTGTTTCATATTATTTATTTTTACAAAAAACAATAAACAGAAAATTGTGACTAAAACATAAGGATTAATTAATTCCTATGGTAAAAATTTTAAATAGCTTACAAAAATAAAATACTAATTTTTTATTTGTTAAAATTAATTGTCTATTTTTGTAAATATTTTAAGTGATTATTAAATTGATTATTTTAAATACTAATTAATAATATATATAATTTGTTTTGTGATATCGTAGATGGAGGAGGGAACTAATTGTATTTTGCGTAGTATAATATGTTAGAGAACAAAATCTAATTTAACTAATTAATTATAAATATATTGCACTATCATGGCCAAGAGGGCTCCACATCATCTTCACCATTTCCTTGTCGGCCATTTGTAATCGTCCCCACCATTTAAGGCACATATTTGACGACCCACATAATAAATAATTAAAATGTACATGTAAGGATAACCTTAATTAGTACTGTATACCCAAATCCCGATAAATATAAATAATAAAGTAATTATATTATAAGTGAAATTAAGCACCTTATTATTGTATATCATTTCAATATTTAGAGGTTTAATTTAATTGTTTCTGGTAAGTAATAGGTTAACAATTTTGTAAAAAATCCATTTTAATTTGATTAATGTCTAAAAACAAAATTAAGCTACATACTTTTAATTGCCTCAAATTAAGATATACAACCTAATTACTAATGGTTTACATTCTTTGACAAATATAAATTGAATATATAAACATATTGAATTTAGTTTCAAATTTTAATTCTATAAAAAGTACAAAATCATATAAAATATGCTCACCTATTTGTTTTATAATAAAATAATAATTATATTCCATAAGATCTCATACTATTTCCTCAACATTAAACCCTCAATACATCTCTATTGATTGTTTTCTATTAACCACAAAATTAAATTCCAATATATTTATATATGAATAGATCTATATATATTGATACTTTCTTATTGCAGTGCTTTTAAGTTAAAAGTCAAATTGATAGATGCTGCAAAAAAAACATACACATATGCTTGGATGTTATTTTTGATTCCCACTTAAGAAAAGTTGTGTGTATGTGTGCCATGATCTTATCTAGTTTAGTACCCAATTTGCTACTTAGTCACACTCATGCCAATTGCTGTCAATCCATAACACACACACACATATATATATATATAGGGTAAGAATGTACAGTACAAAGCGACAGGAAATTCAGTCGTTTTGTGTGTTGAGAAAGAAGATGGGAACAGAAACTGAAAGGACCCAAAGAGAGAAAAGGAGGGGAAGGGAGACCCACAACAGAGAAGAGAGTTGCACGCTTATTGAAGTAAACTGGGGACAGGGTGCCCCTCGTTGATGGAGTTTTAAGTACATAGGAGGGGATTGTGTGGTCTACAAAACTAGGTCGTTTTGTCTCCCTCCCATGATTCACCCACTTTTTTCATGCACTTCCCTATTTTCATATTTCCTTTCTTAAATTGATGCAAACCATTCACACACTTTCTATATCTATATCTATATCTATATCTATACACACACACACACACACATATATTTACATGTATTAAAAATTAAACTTCAATTACTAAAAAAGCAAGTTACCCCACTCTCATATATATACATTGCATAACTACATCTATATAGCAAGAAATACTTGCTTTTTTAGTAATTAGTGTGTAATTTTCATCAAAAAATTATTAACAAATATTTCAAAACCAAATTAAATTAGAAAATTTTATTTAAAAATGTTATTTTTAGATATTTCAAATAAAAATTCAAAAAAAAAAATAATTATATCTTTCAAATCGTGTGCTCAACAAAAATACTTGATATTTATTTCTTTCCTTATAGATTTTTAAATTAGTTAATTTTTTTATTTGTTAATACAAAGATAATTTCCAAATAAAAACACACTAAAATGATACTAATACACATTTATCTTAATTTCACTTAGAAAATGAGTTGAAATTATGTTATAAATAGAAAACTAGTATCTAAGATTCCAGGTAATGCTACTATTACAATGGAGGCAAAGATGCTCTTGCATTTTTCAGCGAGAGTTAATAAAGCCAAAAACACTGTAGTACAAAAATTAAGTGTAGAGTCAAAGTATTATAAGAAACGATATATATATATATGTATATGTGTGTGTGTGCTGTATAATGGGTAGATAACTAGATATATACAGGTAGATGGTGGAGTATGCAAATGCAAACAAGGAAACCTAACAAAATTTGGTGATACGAGATATATGTAGATTATTTTTATAAAGCCAAAAGCTACTGTAGGGTATTGTGAATCCTTGCATATAAAGCACAAAACATTTACTTCCCATCAAAAAGATTTTATCCCCTTTTCCCCCTCCATCAACAAGAAGCAACTCCATAACCCCTTTTCTTTTCTCTTTAATTTTCCATTCTTATGGAGTCACACAGAAAATTATCAGAAGCATCTCCATCCGAGACCAGCTCATGCATCATTTCTTCCTCAGAGACTCCATTGGTGTTGCACAAGATTAACAAGGAAGAAGTTGTAGTAGTCGTACATGATGATGAAGAAGAAGAAGAAGATGATCATGATCATGATCATAATGATGATCAAGACCAAGATCAAGATCAAGATCATCGAAGAGAAGGAAAACCCAGTGATGATCATGATCTACTTCTTGATCTAAAGTTAACAACAAGTGGTAATGATTGTCATCATCTGGGCAATACTAATTTCATTAATCAAGAATTGAATCTCATTAGCTGCTTGAACAGTACTACGGGTTTATCATCATCATCATCTTCTTCTCGAACATCGCCTGAAACTACTAATCGGCATCATCAACCTCAAGATCAAGATCAACAGCAAAGAGTCTTCTCCTGCAACTACTGTCAAAGAAAATTCTACAGTTCTCAAGCTTTGGGAGGCCATCAGAACGCCCATAAACGAGAAAGAACCCTAGCAAAGAGAGGACAAAGACTACCCAGTTCAGCTTCAGCTTTCGGGTATCACCATTTCTCAACTCTTCCACCTTTCCATGGCGGGAGATCTCTCGGGATTCAAGTTCATTCAATGATTCACAAGCCTCCACAGATCTTCTCCTCCTCTTCTTCTTCTTCTTCTCCCTTTTCTGTCTTTGGTAAAGGATACGGCCAGTACCGGTCAACGACTAGGCTTCCTTTTGACCAGCAACCTGCAGTTGGGAAGCTAATATCAATGGGTAATTGCCATCATATGAATTCATCTTCAACGCCACAGTCCCGTTCCGGTGTTTGCCGGTTCAACGTAGTGAAGTCCACGACGGCGGTTGGTTCGCCGGCTGCCGCAGCGGATGAGGCATGGCGGTTTGGTGGTGGGTTATTGAGTACAAGTAGTAATCAAGAAGAGTTGCAGAAGCTCGACTTGTCCCTGAAGCTCTGAAGTTAAAAAAAAAAAAAAAAAAAGGTGTATTATTAATTTATTTAATTTTCTACATTTTTATTTTTTATGATTGACATTTTGTTTTTTGCTTTTTACTCTTTTCTTGAGAGTAATTATTGTTGTTGTGTATATTTGATTACAAAGAAGTTTTGAGAATTTTGCTTCGCAATTAAGTTCTTAATATGTGTGTGTAAAAACTAATTAGTTAGTATTACTTAGAAAATTATATTATTATCTGAAATAGAGTTATACGTGTGATTTAGTATAATTTGTGTGAATGCAAGAGTTTTGTCATGTCAAAAGCAAATCTTCCCGATATCTCCTGCTTTACTCTATGAGAATGATTGGGGCTTTTGGCTAAATGCGAAAACTTGGCAAGAAAATTTTCATGAAATTTTGAGTTAATCTCAAGCTCTTCTAATTTTATCATCATTATGAAAAAAGAACAAAATACTTAATAAAATATAAATTACGTGGTGGTCTTCAATTTGCAGCTTTATATTAATAAAATAAGTCAAAATTATGGTTTTGCTAAATTTTTATGTACTATCAGAATCAATTGATGGGGTATTGACTCATCACTGGATTACTATATGACCACGGATTCAGCCCCCGGAGTTAAAAATTTTATCCAAAATCATATTGTTTTCACGCAATGTATATGTATGCATACATAATGTAATTAAAAAATGCAGTTTGTAGAACATGAAAAAGATGCCCCATTAAATCATTTAAAAAATGCTTATCATTTCTATCAGGAGTTAAAGCACTGCCACTAAACCAGATACACTATAATTATTATTAAAGAAATTCAATATTGCAAGCAACACCCTTTCTTTAAATACAATTAATTATACACCTTAGGTTATTTTAATGATTTCAGGTATATATTCAATGTTAGAAGTAGATCTCCTCCATAATTATGTTTTCAAATGGAAGATATGCTCTTGTCCTCTATTGAGAAAACATGCACTGTGTCACTTTCACTTACAGATCCCTAAATCTAGGTAAGATTTTTCCTCACTATTATAATATATAATGCTTTACTTGTCAGCCTATCTCCCATTTCATCATATTTAATTCAGACCCATCTTTATTTCTCACCATTATTATTAAATTTTTTAAAGATAATTCAGTATCTTAATTTGTCAAGAAAAGAATAGAATTGCATCTAAGCCAACCTACCTGTAAGGAATGGAAATATAATTTGTACATATTAAAAAAAAAAGACAAGGATAAAACATGTGTTAAGTTATGGAAGCTGGGCTGGACCCAACAACTGGAGTGCGAAGCATTTACTTTCTCTTTCCATAGTATGGTATAGTAGTATGTCATATGTTTTGTCCTGACATCACTTGAGATGTTTACCAAAAAAGCTGGTGTTGTTGTCAGACAAGGAAAGTGTCCAAGTGTTATCTACAATGCCAAAAATTATTCTCCATATAGCACCAAAACAAGTTTGTGGGTGCAGTGATAATTCAACAAGCCAAATAGGATAACACTTCCTCGACTCAAACCCAACTCAACTCAAACACGAAATTACCAAAAGAAACTCGAATATGACTACGACATAACCAAATCATCTTCCAACATGCCACTATGAATTGTACTCTTTAGTCTCTAACAGCAATAGCAAAAACCAGGATTGCTGGTACGTTGATCAATCACTTTTCTTTTCCAAGCTAAGCAGATAAAGACGTAATTATGAAAGGCTGAGAAGATGGGAAAGCAATAATGGTTCTTCTCTCTTCAAGATCACTATCATATAGGCAATATATATTAGCACTTACAGAGTTTTTCAGAAATTTGTTAGGAAATTTGTTATCAAGAAGTTGGGTGCCTGTCACCAACCCAAAAAGATTAAAAGTGCACTCCTCCACTAAACAACATGGTTTCCATCATTAACTTTTCGTAAATGTTGAAAACCAATGAAAATGCTTGTTAGAGAGGTTGAGAAAAAGAAAGAAAAAGTATATGAAGAAAAAGAAAAGGATGACGAATATAATGATAATGATGATGATGACGTCAATGCCAACAGTGAAACTAGAAACAATAAAATGAACAAGAATGAGAATAGACAACAACTTCAACTAACAATGTAAGTCCTTTGCCTAACTCTGCATTGTACTTACACATTGTTATTATAGATTAATGAGAACAAGAAATTCCATAGCAATTAGCAAATCAGAGTTCTTTAAAGGTGTAAAAGTCAACATTATATGAGAAAAAAGAAAAGCATCACCTCATAATTCATAAACAAGGACCGTGGTGCTTTATCATTCTAGACAAAATAAATTTAATTGCTTACTGTGAACTGATCTTCTATGATAAATGATTCACAACCAATAAAGGTGATTCTACCAAAAAGGAAAAAATTAACCATGCAACAAATTGATATCAATTCTGTGCTTAAAAGTTGGGGCAGAAGGAATCAATACCTCGCATTTACCCATCAGAGAGGCTTGTTAGTTACTACTGGTTACAAGCCTAGTAGTTACTGCTAACAACCGTTTGTGGTCCAAAATGGAAAATATTTGAGTAAAAATTAATTGTCACCAACATTTGAAGTTGGTGTTCTTTAAGCAACGTGAATAATTTGAAACAAGATTATGTCAAACCAAAGCAACACTGAATGATTAGCACCTACCAGGTTGCCCTTGAACAGAAAATCAAATGGGTTTAATAATTTGCCAACCCTAACAATTTACTGAAAAGGAAAAAACAAGCATAGAAGATATTAACGTATATGAAAAAATTTTCAATCAAACATGTACAGGGAGCACATCAAAAGATTTGATTGAGGGGTCCTGCCCAACAGTTACAAAATTGTTAATCGAGAATAAAGCTTTTGAGGGAGCACATTAAAGGATTGATTGAGGGGCCCTACCCCAACAGTTACCACAGTCCTACCTTCTTAAATGAGAAAATAAAAATTATAAGTAAATACATGCAAGATGACTGGATGAGGATCCAACTTTTATTTAAATTTAGCTTGGTCTAAGTGGGGTGGTTTGGTTTAGAAAGAAACATAAAAGGTGGTTGGCTTCTGTCAATAAGCCAATTGATATAGGACTAAACTGTCTTCACTCAATTATTCACCAGACCGAAGTTCGAAGGAGTCTAGTCATAGCATTGTAGGCACAAACCCGCACAAGGCTTAACAAACACAAGAAAAACGTGTCCATTTTTTTAATAAAAACAAGAAAAACATGTTCATCATATACAACCATTTCCCAAGAAGAAGAAGAAGATCAATCATAGCAATACCAGCAGCTGGCAAACTCACGAAAGTTCAGTTTGGGTAACTATATCCTTAAAATTTTATGTACCTTCTAAACTTATTTCCCATAAATGAGTTGCAAAATAAACATGCCGGAAATTCATTGTCAAAACAAGCACATACCAGTTACAGTAGTTGGACCGAACTGTTTAACTAGCTACATCTTTGAATGAGAAGCCCAAAAAGAATAACTACAGAAATCAAGCCAAGTTCAACAAAGATCATGTTAAAAGCTAAACTACTGATGACCAGATGTACAGAATGGAAAGAATATTAGAACAACCAAATTATCTCAAATATATTTTGTTTAGTGTCAGAGATTCATCAAATTGGACTAATTTTATTTGGTTCTTTCTCGGAATAGAAGCAGGAATATTCATAATTTTCAAATCAGATAATCACGTGTCAGCACACTCATTCACATATATGCATAGCATACAGCACCAGATTGAATGATCACAATCATGCAAATCTTAACCCACAGCTGAAATAGTCCACTAAACACTACCTGGATACATTAGAACATAACCAAACACATGCCTACTTATGTAAATCTTCTAGTTCAATGTTATCTATTTAGCTAACAGATTTACTCCATGAGGAGCATTCGAAGCATGAGTCTAGTAATCAAAAAATGAAGAGGAATATATGAGATATCTTTTGATGCATCCTTGATAATAATGATAAATGAAATTAGAATAATAAGCTTAACCATGACTATTTCTGTCCCATCTAGTTCAACTAAATTTATTAGAGTACTAAGCTTGATCATGACTATTTACGTTCCATCTAGTTCAATGTGTCTAGCGACTGCATTGTGCTAATAGATTTACTCCATGAAGAATTTCAGAAACAATGAATCAAGCCATCAAAGAAAGAAAAAGAATCTAAAAGAATATTTTTAATGCATTCTTAAAAAAATAATAACAAAAAATGAAATCCTTAGTGCATTATGATATGGCTGGAAAAATTCCTGCCCAAGTTCCCAGAATCAACTGAAAAGACACCACTATGACTGCATTGTAAATTGACAGCATTCATGCAACTATCCAATGACATAAGACTTCCAGTTAAAATCCTTTATTTTTTCAAGTAGCGTAAAAAAATATGATCTATATCATGATTTAATAGAATACCTTGTTTGAAACCGCTAAAAAAGGGAAGTCTAAATAATCAATCAAGAAGTTTGAATAAACACTATAAACAGAATAGGGCTTGGCGGCGACATATATGATTTATATTGTGCTCAAAGAGGGGTTAATCAATCAACTCTGGGAAGGAAGCAAAGAAGGTAGCAACCCAAGAAGGGGGTAGTTTAAGCAATGTCCTTAATATTTAAAGTCCTTTTTTCAGAGTTGATGGTCTCACGTTACATATTCTAGTACCAAGGTTTGACTTACAGAGTTATAATACCACCGAACCCTTTTAAAATATACAATCAAAATGTTCATAATTGGTAAAATTCCCCTCTCTAGCTTGAATGCATAAGGGGGTTACAAAATTATCAATTTCATTTTAAAATATCATTCTTTATTGACTTGATTCTTTCTCCTCCTCAGAGATGACATACAAACAATGTGAGTTATTTCTTTATAATCATAGAAAAAATAAAAAGCCAAAAGCAAATGTCTTTGAAATTTTTTCAAAATATTCAGCTACTTTTCTAGAAAATGATTGACAACCCTTAACCACTGGATAAGTTCAATTCTATCCTTGTTCATCATATATTCATGCAAGAATACAGAAAGTTCATTGTTTACCCCCCTTGCCTCTAAATATTCACGAAGTCCCTTTTGAAGTCCCCTCTTCAAGTTCCTGAAAATAACAGAAGCATAACCCACAATAATCACATGTGAATTCCAAGATACAAAATAACCACCAAATCACTCTAAAAAAAAAGGTCAAAACACTCCAAAATTTTTAGATCTCAGATGCACCAAGCAAATAAGAACAAATTAGTATGGAAGAGGAAGAGCGCAACCAATACCTGTAATCAGGTCCCATGTGAGGACTAGACAGCATTCTGTCACGCCTAAGCATGTAAACTTTCTGAATTTCGATGCAGTTGGGCCACGCCGAGCACACGAACTCCATATCATCATAACCCTCCCCCTTGGATATGTCAACAAGCACACTAATGTGAAGGCGCACATCTTCCTCGATGCTATCCTCTCCTACTTTAGGAACATAGTCATATCCGTCAAACATAGTTATTTCCATCTTAATGTGTTCATTGTCCCCATACTTCCCCCTCATAGTGATCCACTGCCCACCTGGATGATCTTCAACCGTAAACGATTTAAATTCTGTAACAGGCTGAACAAGTCCCAAAGGAAGAAGAACAAACAGCGATCAGCATATCTCCTATTTTGGGACTTGAGCAACCAAAACCTCCACTCAAGAAAATCCATTAAACTACTCAGTTCACCTAAATTGTCCTCTCATTTAATTCTTAAACAATTTAAATTCGGTTCCTCGAATTGAATTACTCCTTCTCAGTTTCATCTTTTATGCAGTAAAACAAAAGCTTAAGAAAAACCCTAGCTAGAGTAACAGAGTAACAACCTAATAGAACCGCTAACTGTTAATTTAAGCAGACACTCCGAACAATTGAAACTCTCATCATTACAGCAGTTCCATTTCTGTCGTTTTCCGTCATTTTCGCGGCAACCAACCAGAAATTCATTGAAATAAGAGAGAATAGAAAAAAGAGCAATAGAAACAGAAATGATAAGTAAATAAAGAAATTATTTTCGCGGCAGGGCACGTACTTGGTGAGGAGGAGCATAGTCGGACTGGTACTCGATCTCATTGCGTATAATTCGGAGAATGTTGGCCTCGAATGGCGATTTGGCATTCACAGGGGAAGCGTAGGATTGGGAGGAAAATGCAGAGGTGGCATCTCCTGATTGAATGGCAGTGCCGTGGGCTTTCGGGGGGAGTCTCTGGATTAGGGTTTTAGAAGAAGGAGAAGACAAGGAGAAGATAGTCCTATGTGCAGATCGAATTAAGCGGGCCATGATGCTCGGAGAAGCTGAGAGAGAGAGAGAGAGAGAGAGAGAGAGAGGTTCATGTAGGGGTTTAAATTTTGACATGGCGATAAATTAAAAAGAAAATAATACGGAAAAATCCAATATTTCAAAGTACTACTTTATCTTCCCAGCAGTCTTTTTCTCACTCCCTCTCTCCCATCACCCTCATCGTTTCTGGAGATACTTTTTATCGAATTTAATTTAATTTAATTATTAATTTATTTTTTATTTTAAATTGATAATTATTGTATATATTATTGGGTTTCATGGGCCTCCCAATTAATTCAACGTGATTAAAATGAATGTCCCAATCAACTTCCAACCGGAATAGCCAAAAAAATTTAAAAAATAAAATAAAAAATTCCCACATGGGTATGTTATTTTCGTGACTTTAATTTAAATCATAATTTAAAATTTTAATTCTTACATAAAATAAGATTAACATGTATTAAAAAATGATTAACAATCAAAAAATACAAGTGAGATTGTAATTAACTGGTAATGAAGGTTGAAAAATACAATAATTTACATATGTGTAGAAGAAGGAAAATGATGCTCTAAGAACCACCATACCTAAGGGATAAAAAGGCAACACGCCAGTATTGTTCGGGTTCCATTATAATACATACATGTGAATCACAAATTTCCAATTAACATCAAATTTTAATTATATTGCAACTTTTATTTTAAAATATATTAAAATTATTACCGTTTAACTTATTTGTGGTTCCAATCAAACACCCCAAGATTTTTCATAACGTTATCCTGTTGAATCGTGACGTGTAAATAATCAACGGTTAGATATTGACAAATTATTGTAAGCCAGTGATTTGTCGGGTGGTTGCTTTTTTTGGGACCCAGCCATCCACTTAAAATGCTAAATAAACAAAAATAAAATATTAACAATTTCGTATTTATTTTAAATTATATGTAAAATTACGTTCTATTTTTCACGTCCCGCAGCAATATTTATGTATTATAAAAATTATATGATATATTTTATTTATTTAAATATAAAATATATATAAATTTAAATTATAACTGCGTGTGACTTCATCTA